GCTGTGTTAAAAGGAATGGCTCACTCCTGACAGCCTCAGCATGCTGTTTCCAAAGAGTCTGGCAGGAGCAGGGCTTTGCTGAGAGTGATGCTTTTGAGAAGGATGCCTCATTATAGAGGAAAAACGAGAAATTCGTATCTGTTCAGTTAATGAACCTTCTCAGCTTCCCTGGGATTTCACAGCAGTTGTAACTCCAGGCACGGCGGCTGTTTGGCAGGGAGCAGCTGCTGGCTGGGAGCTGGGCAGGAGGGGGCCATGCTGCAGACACTGCCCAGCGTGGCTGGAGCCTCCTGCTCCCTCCGGGGTCACAGTGCCAGAGGCAGTGCCCACGGCCCCAGCCACAGCCCCCTGGGCTGCAGGGTGTCCTCCCCCTGCCTCTGGCCCCAGCACCTGCTGGGAAACACAGCAAAGATGCTGCAGGGAAACACAAATTATTTTAACATACACCTTTTGTTTTCAATACACCTGTATTATTTTCAAATTGTAATGAATTGTGTTAATTTTATGTAGTTTAACCAAAACCAAATGAAATACCTTAAACTCCAATAACTATCATTACTTTCTAATTTACTATTGTTAATACTCATTTTTGCATCATACCTCCCTATCACAAGTGAGCCAATGTTAATTAAGTTTTAAAATAGAATATTCAACAAGTTCTAAATGAGACTCAAAGCATAACAAAAGTGATAACTGTGAGAGACTCTCATGGAATAATACATGAATGCTGAATGCTGGTATTAATTAGTAAATACAAGGTGTTCAGGAGCAGAAGTGGTGCTTGTCATGCTGATGTGTGTTTGGATCATACGTGATCCCAGCACGCAGGGAAACCAAACATCAGCTGCCAAAGCCTCAGCTTTCCTGACTGCTTGCTACTGCTTTGGGAAGCAAGTGTTGCTATTTTAGCACTGCTCTGTGTGCCAAGGCTGGGTATTTGTAGTTTGCAGTAGTTATTTCCAGGTATTCTAGGGTTGCTCATATTTTAAGTATTTTAAGACGGATGTGGCTTCTTATTTTGATATAAGAATTTATTGGTGTTTAAAAAAATGGCCTCCTTAATTTGTGGTGAAACGGAATTCCTTCACAATCCTCTTTTCACTGATACTGTGATGCAGAAAAGGCTGGTATGTGAAGGAACTGGAGCTCTGTATGCCAAACCAAGCTGCAAAGGGACACATTTCTTCCGTAAGAGGACACAATTTGTAAACTTTTATAATTTATTTTTTACTCTGAGACAGTGAGCTGAATTCCAACAGCACTGTACAGTCTCGGGCTGCCCTCTAGTGTGAGCAGCTGTAGAGACACGGCACAGCCTGCCAAAAACCTGCCTTGTTTCACTTTGATTTTTTAAAACCCAGCTATTAAACCATTGGGATTTTCTGCAAACAGTTTTGGATGATTATTTGCTTCTGATGTCTCTGCCACTGAGATCTATTTGGACTGTGCTTCCCAGCGCTCTCTTGTTTCTGTCAGGCACAGACAAGCCAGTCTTTTGTCTGTGTCCTGGAGCAGCAGCTGCGATTTGAGATGAGAAGGAGCCAGGACTGCAAGGAAATAATGACCCTTCAGCTGGGAAGGACAGTTTGTCAGTTTGGGGCGGGGGCAGAACACGATGACAAGCCTTGAGTTAAGGGCGAGCTGGTAAAGCAGAAAAATTAATGGACAAATATATGGAAAAGACACATTTGAGGAATACATGGTACTTCAGAAGATGCTGCTCATCAGTCAAACACAGCAATCTAAAATCACTCAACCAAGGCCCTAATGCAAGAGTTTGGGCTCACACACAAATATTGCAAACCTTCCTCTGGCATACCTACACTGACACGAGGTGAAGATTCAGGCTACCCATGTCAATCACTCCATGTTCCCACCAGGCTGGATGGCAGATTTCACCCTGCTCACCCACCCACCACCCCCAGACATGACCCTTTCCCAGACAGGTATTTCCAGGGAACCCCGAGTGCTGACCCCCTGGAAAGGTGCTGGCTGCACAGCCAGTGCTGGGGGAGAACAGCTGTGTTGGGTATGGTCAGCCACTGGCCCTAAAACTGCTCCCCCAGGCCCAAAGGAGATGTCAGGAGCAGGATGCCAAGGCTGGGTGCAGGCAGGAGCTGTGGGATGGTGGCAGGCTGACACGGACTGGATGGATGCTGCTTCAGCACAGCCATGGGAAGGGGGTGGGAATTGTATTATCTGGATAGAGGAAATCAGATCAGAGGGCTTTAAATGGAAATTATTTTCACCAGTACAGATGTCCCTAGGGAACAAATTCAGCTGCTAATACAATTTGGCCAAGAGGAATAAACTATATTGATCTTGAGAGCTCAAATGCTTGCTGAGACAGTCCTTCTAGAGAATTACAGTATTTATTTCCTGCATCACTGTCAGCAAAAGTATAACAGTGATTACAGCCCAGTGACTTTTTGCACACACCAGTTAACTTCACGCTCATCTCTTGCTTCAGTTCATAATTACTTTTTTTTTTTTTAATCCCTGATCTGCTATTCTTGTGTCACACAAACATCCTTAATTATACTGTCTTTGGTCACTTCACATCTCAAGTTTTAGCTTTCTGTGACTGTCACAATAAAGCTCATGGTGTAATTGCTCCACAGCCACCCAGCTCTCCCAGGACACTGCTGCTCCCCAGCCTGGCCTGAACACAGGTCCTTGCCCATCCCTGCAGTTCAGCAGCCCCAAAATCCTCCCCTAGGGCACACTGCTAGATTGTGTCCATGAAAGGGGTTTGCATAGGTGTGAGTGGGGTGTTACTATTTTTGGAGAGCAATAAATAAAGCCATATAGATTTAATTGGATAAGAAACACCAATGTTGGCACCTATAACATGGTATTAATAATATATATCATGGAACTTTATCACTACAAATCTATTCCAAGGGGATTTACGTGAAGTAAGAAGCTTCAAAATTCTAAGACACTAAGACAGCGTGCTGCATATCCCGAAATACGCATTATACTTATTTGCTGGCATATTTCCACATCACTTTACATTCACATCTTACCCATCTTTCCTCATTTCTCTGAGCCTTCTTCTTCTTGTCTACAAACTGCCTTTGCCTATTCTGCAGTTTCTCAGTTTCTTCACCTATTCTTTTTCATGTTTATTTGATGTGAGTCTCGACTCCTGATGCAGAGCCTTCTTGCCAGGACACACACTAACACGCTGAGCTCGCTCCCTCAGACATTATATCTGAAGGTAAATTGGGAAATGAAGATGTAGAGCTGTTGGAAGAGGCTGGTTTCCCCAGGCACCAGTTTAGCCTGGATCATTGGATTTACAACACCAGCACCGCCAACACTGATTTGACTATTAATCCCTGAAGTGCCCTAAGAATTGCAGCATAAATCCAGTGAAGGAGCACTCATACGGCCCTAAAGACCCATAGCGCTTATCCTGGTACTCCATTCATGAAAATTGATCTTCTCATAGTAGCAATGACAACTCAAGGAGTCCATGCTTTGTAAAACCAAGAGATCCACTTGCTGTGGTAACGTATTTAACTGCCAGGAGGTCTGTGATACAAACCAGCTGCTGTTCATGCTTAATACTCTGCAGACACCAGCCCCTTCTCCTTTACACACATCCAGAGAGATCTACTATTTCATTCCCTGTTAGGGATCACTTTAATACCTTTGTGCCCCCACAGCAGCACTCAACAAAATCATCCTGTTTCCTATACCCTGCCTCCATAACTCCCTCCCCAAATATCCTTTACCAAGCAGTGCTTAGTTATCTGCTAGGCAAATATCGCCATGGGACAAGAATATAAATATTTTCTGTTTTTGGAGAAGAATAATGCCTGAGCAGAGAACTGCAGGAGTTGGGACGGGGCTGGCAGGAAAAGGAATTGGCCATGCTGGTTTCAAGACACTTCTGTTTTTTAAGCGAGCAGGACTTTGTCCTGTCCCAGAAGGAAAGAGGCCCTGATGTGTCAGAGCATGTAAATCTCACACTGAGTGGCATCTTCCCATGCCTTGACCTTGCTTGCTAGAAACAGGAGGGCTGATCTTAACCCAAGATCTCATGTGCTGGGTGTGCAGCTCCAGGACAGGTCTGAGACACTGTTAACCACTGAGAGCAGAGCCAGGGCTGTGGCTGGAGGCTGTGTGGGACAGGGTGGGACTAGGAAAGAACGTCTCTCCTGCCAGGAGAGGTGAGAATGGAGGAGCTTTAGTAGGGACAGAGAGGACCTGTGCCTGCCATGGCCCTGGAGCCTGGGCAGTGGCTGGCTCCAGCACCACACTGGTAAATCTCGGGGGCGAGGGAGATCTCCAGAGCAAATGAGGCAAGAGAAGGAAACGTGTAAATGTGCTTCTCAGCGTCTGTAGTGGGAGTGACCGCAGCATGAGGGAGAAGTGAGGACTGGCACGGCCAGGCAGCCCATGACGAGTCAGACCCTGCTGTTCCTGTGGGAAGGACACGGACATGTCAGAACTCAACACCAGAGCTGTGCACTCCGCGAGTCCGTGACCAGACCCACACGGCGGATGACCACAGAAAATCAGGTGGCTTGTGTTACAGAAAGTATGATTGACAGTGCTTTTAAAAAGAAATACTCCCACTGTAGTAAATGAAATATCTGTTGCTCAGCGTCTCCCAGTTCAAAGGATTTATTAGTACAAGAGCAGTGAACAGCCAATTACTACAGGCGCTCCCCTCACGGCAGCCCGCCGGCTCCCGCGGGCAGCGGCGCCGCCTTGTGGCCAGGTCGGGGGCGCCACTGCGCGCATGTGCGACCGACCGTCATCAGTACGCGCCGGCTGCGCCGCCACGCCATGGAGGGTGAGGGGACCGGGGAGAGAGGGGACAGAGGGATGGGGGAGAGCAGGGGAGGGTGAGGGATAGAGGGCGAGGTATGGAGTGTGAAGGACGAGGGGAGAGCGGTGGAGAGTGAGGGATGCAGGGTGGGCGGTGCAAGGTGAGCGGTGCGGGGCGGGCGCCGTGGGGCGATGGAGGATGAGGGGTGCAGGGAGGGCGATGCGGGGCAGGGATGGGGGTGACCCCGCTCCGCCGTGCCTTGCAGGGCAGCTGTACCGCCGGCTGCCGCCCGAGGAGACCGGGGAGCTGCGGCTGCAGGTACGACCATGCGGGCCCCGGAACGCCTGCCGGGTCACCTGGCGATTCCCCCTCCTGCACGGCCTTTTAACCCCGTTAGGCACCGACGGGCCGGGGCTGGGTTGGGTCCCCGGGCTCCCCTGTATATCCCTCTTGGAACTCGCTGTTTCAAACTAAATGCAAAACACGAGCTTTTCCTCCAAAACGTGAGTCCCACACAGGGGTGTGCCCGCGCTCGGCACTGCCCGCAGGGCCTTCGGCGTGGGAACATCTCCCTCCTCTGGCCCTGACGGGAAGATCTCCCCTTCCCACCGAGATTTTGCCGACTTGATGAAACCCCCGGTCAGCAGCGAGTTCTAACTTAATTAACACATACCATTTTAAAGCGTCCTTTCACGTATCTTTAGCCCCAGGGCTCAGAGAAAGCCAAGACCTTTGTGCATGCCTTCCTGAAGCGCAGCATGCCCAAAATGAAAGATGAAGCCATCCAGGACATGCTGACCAGGAAAGCTGTCGTTCTGGAGCATTACCATAAGAAAAAGACCAAGCAAAAGAGGAGGAAAACAAAAGGTTTTACTGCCAAGCAGAGGCGAGAGCTGCGTCTGTTTGAAATTGAACCTGAGCAGCAAAGGTAAGGCTTTAAATGTCTTCTTTGTGCAGTAATACATCAAAAGTGTGTGAAAGCAGCAGCATGTTGATGTGGATAGGAACCCTGCAGTGTGTAAAGTCATGTGGCATTTCAGCATGAAAAGAGTTCTCTTGTGTGCACAGGTGAAAGATTCATTTCTGTTCAGCTCATTTTGTGTACCTCAATATGACAAGAAATCAAACCCAGACACAATCCCCTCTGGCTTCAGTTTGTAAAGTTGGACTGTCTGTGACCAAAGAGTCAAAATTCTGCATAAGGCTCCTTGAATTTATCATGCCAACAGAGTAAGCAGGGAGATAAAAGAGTGGGGAAAAAAGGAGAGATCTCTTCAGTCTTAGCCTGACGCTCTAAAACACATCACTGTTTTGGGTTGGAAGAGAAGAGCATGCTTTGTGCTTGTTTTATAAAGTAAACCAGCTGTTTGGAGTGGGTCACCTTGCAGGGCAACTTAAGGCTGTGTAACTTAAAAATGTCAGACAACTCTGTGGAAATACAGACTACTTCAGCAACCAACCAATGGACTTTTTTATAACTAAATTTTGTATAATACTTCTAATTTATCTTTTTTTACTGCAGATATGCCATCTTCCTCCCACTCCACGAGCTCTGGAAACAGTACATCAGAGACCTGTGCCATGGACTCAAACCCGATGCGTACGTTGGCATGTTTTAAATTTAGTCAGAGTTTTATACAGTAGGTACTTCCAGTTTTACTGAGTTACTGCTTGAAACACTGTGGCTAACTGATAAGCATTTTGGTGCTATGTCACAGAATCACAGAATTACTGTGATTATAATAGTCATGGTCAGATTTTGTAAATCTGACGATTCGTTTGATTTTTTTCCTTCCTCTTTGATCCCGTTCTCTTCTTCAAGGCAACCCCATATGATTCAGGGCAAGCTGCTCAAAGCTGATCTCCATGGAGCCATTGTTACAGGTATTGTGTTTGTTTGCCTGCAGAACATCATCTGAAATTCAGGAGATGATCCTGCAGTTCAGGTGCTTATTTTTAAATTCCTTTCAGTATCATTCACTCTAGAATCACATAGTTGAGATCATATTTCTCTCTTTAAAAATTCTAATTACTTTACAACTACTCTTGAAAATCATGTTGTTGGTTGTAAAGTTTAACTGCAAATTTTACCAGTGATTGCTGTAACTACATTATTTCAGAATGTTTAAATGTTTATGTTTGAAAATGTTTAAAATCATGAGGCAACAGGAGAAGAGCAAGTAAAGTGCATCTGAAATTTACTAATATTTACTTCTGTTCTTTCAGTTACAAAATCAAAGTGCCCCTCTTATGTTGGGATAACAGGAATCATTCTACAAGAATTTAAGCACGTCTTCAAAATTATCACTAAAGAGGACAAATTAAAAGGTATACAAGGCATTCTTTTTCAGTTCTTTTCATGACAGGAATCATAAAAAATTCTTGAGCACAGTCTTCATTTTGTGCCTCTGAGTGCATTGGTTTATATCAGTGCTTTTGGCTTTTTGCATAGAGTGACAGAAGTCACCACCCAACAGCCCAATATCTTGCCCAAAACACATCTCATTAGAGATGAGCAGTTTTTAAAAAGTGCAACACTGAGCTGTATGCTCCTGCATGAGGACTAACTTTGGTAATTCCAGTTAAGCATAGAGGCTTGGGTTATTTTTCTTCTCTTGAGAAAGTACAAAAACCTTGAAATGTGTCAAGGCTCATATCTCCAGGTGAATAACATCCCCTGGTGTGTCAGGATATTTCCATAGCAGGGACTTACACTAGCACACTTTATTCTGTTTGTGTCCTTTTGCATTTCAGTTGTTCCCAAGCTTAACAACGTGTTTAGCCTGGAGCTTGATGGGTTCATTTCCTACATCTACGGCAGCAAGTTCCTGCTCAGAGCAAGTGAGCGATCTGCAAAGAAATTCAAGTTGAAAGGAACTATTGACCTGTGATCTCATGGAAACTCAGAAGCATTCAGAGAAACGTCTGTTTTCCTGCAGCTCAAAGAGCAGGCTTTCTGGCAGATGGAAGAAGCAACAGCCATCTGAAATATTCATAAAGCATTTCTTCTTACTGAAGAATGAGCAGTATCTGCTGTCTTTAAGCAGTCTCACTGACTATTGAAATTGGTTGTGTCTGGTTTTTTTATTTGTATATAATATTTTGTCTTCTATTAAAGTTATATTATTAATATTAACTACCTGGCTTCTGTTTCAGTTTATAGCTGTAAATTTGTGACAATTATATTTTGTAACTCTGTAATAAATGCTTTCTGTATAAATTGGGCTTTAGCTGCCTGTTAGGTGCTTGCAGTGAGACTGCGGGTGCTGACAAATGCTGTTTATAATCATTGTTCCTGGGCCAGCATCAGCATCTTGGCCTGCTGCAGGCACATGCAAATAAATTGTTTCAGTGGCAGGTTTTATCTGAGTGGCCCTGGCTGGGGTTGATATTCTTACAGGTGTGCACAATGTTTACATATATGTATAACTGTAACCATGCAGCCCTGCAGGCTGGCTGCTGCCCAGTGCTCACTACCAGCCTGCTGCTTTCAGGCTAAGTCAGGTATCTGTACCAATAGCACACATTGCCATGGCACAGGGCAGGGATACAGCACAGCCTGGAACAGGGAACCACTTGAAGCTAGAAATTCACAGGTGGAAGTGACCTCCATTCAATCTTGTATTTCAATTACCCACAGAATTGCTTTATGAATATTTAACCTGTCACAGAGCTATGTGTTTTGTCTGTTCTCAGCCCCTTTTTTATTTTTTGCTGTACACTTCATTTTTGATTGCTCAGATTACAATCCCTCATTGACTGGACAGGTCTGATGTGTTTGGGAGGTGGAAGTGACCCCTGAATTTAGATTGCTTAACATTTTTCTGTTATAAAAGTGCTTCTGTGGTGGCTTTAAGTGTAACTTTCAGGAGCTTTTCATCAATTTCACTATCAAATGAAAGACTTATACCTAGGAATTTTTTTTCCTGTCACCATTCAAGCATTTGTAGCCAACCAGGGTAATTTCTTTAAAGAGAACACAGCTGTTCCTGACACAATCACACCCCAAAGCTGAGTAGCTGGGCTGTGAGGGCAGTCAGAGCTTTTACCTGCACTGGGGGGCACACAGGGCAGCAGAGAGCCAGAGCTCATCACCACCTCCAACCCCAGAGCTACAAACACTTACCTGGCCCCCAAAGCTCCCACTTCCTTTCCTGACCTGTTGCTGGGAGAGGTCACAGGAGAGCTGCACCTCCTCAGACACAACCCAACTTCACCATCCCTGAATGGATGAACTCACAGTGTGGACAATTCTGGTGTTCAAAAACAGATCCTTCGGAATCAGGACATAGAAGGAGTTGGTATAGAAATAAAAATCTTTGTTGCAATTCTATGAAGTATTGCCCTTGAGATGGGGAAAACAGTGTTCCTGCCAGAGACAGATATGGAGAAATAGTCATTTCACACCAATGAGAACTTTTATCTGTGAAGTAAGAACAGTATGTGTTAAAGCGGTTAGACATAAGTTATTTGCTACCTTCCACCCATTACTCCTTTCAACATTCTCTAAAATTAAAACTCTTGGTTTCCTGTAAGAGGTCAGAAGGAAAAACAAACAAAGCTGCAGAAGCCATAAATCATAACAGAAACTTTCCTTTCATGACAATGACCTAGTTCTAATTTTGCTCATAGCCTTCAATGTAACATCTAATTAAGACATCTGTTAAATGCCTATAATATTAAATTAATAGGGGGAAGCTAATAGAACTTTATTGGCATAGTCCAGTTAATTAACATTAAGGGCCTTTAATGGAGGGCTGAAAGAGACATTAATGGGGATGCTGTACAAATTGGAATTAGGCACAATCATGTCTCATTGTGCTGTGAAGGACAGAACATGTTCCACCATATGGACACATCGATGAGCACGATACAACTTCCCATAGCTACTGGCACTTGCATTTTTTAAACTATTTCAACAAGCACAAAAACAAACACTGCCTGGCAGTGCCTTGGTAAGAGCAAGGCACAGTGATATTTACAGTGAAGGGTGCCCAGGAGATGGCAAAGGGCTCCCCAGAGTAATGCCAGGCTAGTGGCACAGAGAGGTGACAAATGCAGAACAAGAGCTGAACAGCCCAGGCACCCAGGATCCTTCCCTGCAGCTGGTGAATCAGCTCAGAGGCCTTTTTGCAAAGCCTCCAGGTGCTCCAAAAGCCATGGCTCCTTGCAGCTGAACCACCCCAGAGCTGGGACACTTCCCACCCTCAGCAAATCAGCCAAGTCCCACCTGGCATGGGCTCTGTGCTCACTTTTCCTAGCGCACATTAAACTCCCCAGTGCTGGCTGAGAAACTTCCTCAGAAACTGGGAGAGGTGACAGTGACAGCTCACCAGCCCTCCCCTGCCCATTCACAGCCATTCCCTGTCTCTTCATTAGCTGAGACAGTAAATACCCAATGGATTTAATATTGGGAAATTGGAGAACTAATCACAGCTGTCTCTAATATGCTTCGTCCTTCATATGTTCAACTCTGGATTGCACTCAGCAGGGACTTTTTTGTCATGATTTTTACACCTAAACTGTCACTAACCAGGGAATAATGAACAGCAGTGAGCAATGTCTCACTATCTTACACACATTTCTGCTCCCCTATTACTGTGTATGTATATTTATAACTAATATGAACCAAAACAATTGCAAGCAATTAAGTTACTGAATTTTGAACACTTAAGCAAGAATAGAAAAACAAAAAATCCCGTCATTTCTGTTTGAAACCTCAAAATAATTCATTGTAGGATGTGTTTGAAATTGAAGCCAATTCACATCCAAGAAAACACATGGAAAATTCTTTTTGAGGGAGATGTCATTTAAAAAATGGGTTAGATAGCAATACAGTGGAAACCCTAAAAACCATCTATGACTGACAAACTCATATTAAATCACTGAAATAACAGCAGCAAGTAGCTGGTGTTAACTCTATGTATTCAATTCATCCAGTGTTTTAGAGAAGTGTAAGACAGAGCACAAAATTCTGATCCAGACCATGCTTTCAGAAAACAACAGCAGTATTTTCTCAAAACCAGCTTGGCCCTGATTTTGTCTCAACAGAGCAATCCCTCAACCAGAACAGTTCCATGTGCCCATTCCCATAACAAATGCTCACCTTCCTTCCTGCTGTTAGACAACCCAAAATCTGATCAAGCCTGTCGTGCTGCATCATTCACCAGCCCATGGTCCCACACACCAAAATCAATCATACAGCAACAGTGATTCCATGGAATTTCCCAGAGGTTTCACCTGCCCTTGTCTCATGCTCCCCATCCTTAATTCTGTCACTCCTATGGTAACTCCAGTTCTAAGTCCCCACAGTGTGGGATGAAAATGAATTATTTTGGTAGGGCAGAAATCTTCCTCAGTGTAGTGGTTTAATCAAATCAATGAGCAAACATGAAAAATAGAGGATCTCTGCAACAGAGGATCTGCTGCTGAGAGGAGCAGTTCCATCTGGCAAACACGAACCTCCTGGGCTGCAGAACAAACAGCACCTGACACTACCTGCAGGTGGGTTTTGACACCTACCTCTGCAGGCTCTGCCTGCTGGATAGGGATTATGGAAAACTACAGAGAACCCAACATTTAATACTGAATTAAGAGCTCTCCCGGTAAAGAGAGCTCTCTGCTGCTTTCTACTGTTAGTCAGATAAGGTACAGTACATTATAACCATTGAGAAGAGAAAAAAAATTAGTATACAGTTAACTAAAATAACATAACTGATAGGAAAAGGCACAGTCTAAACTTTACATTCTAGCCTGCCCTGCACCCCAGCCTATTTTTAGGCTATTCCTTTCTTTCATTCTGCTAAGAGCTATTCCCATATTGCCAAACCATACTGATTTAAAACATATTATTTTCCTTTACTTTCAGGCACTGCCCAATCTTGTAATAACCATTCTCTTCTACAGTCATCTGAACAGCTCCTACTCTCATGGCATATCTACATTTTACTGAGGAACTAATCTTAAAAGGTACAAAAATATATCATAACATGGTTAGAACATTATTTATAATATTCAAATCAAAGGACTCTGGCTTCACCTCAATATTTTTAAATCAATAACCCGAACTGAATATCAATGCTTAAGGATTCATATTTGAATTTTTAAGGGGATGATTTTTAAGGGTAAAAGCCATCAAACCTAAAGCCTCAATCAGGACTGCACTCACTTTTCTGTGGGTCAGGGTTTCCCAGCTGAGCCTTGTGGCACCAGGGCCCCAGGTTTATAGCAGAATGTGCAGGGAAATGTCCTTGTTGTGTGTCTGTGTGTCCAGCTGCCATCACTGGCCTCTGGCTACAAGCTCCTTGGACATTCTCTGGTGTACACACAGTGCAGCCCCAAAATAGGCTCCACTTTATAGCACCATTACTCTGGGAGGGAGGGAAGAAAAGGATTATGCACTTCTTGTAAATGATAAAATAATTCCATAAATCTGAATAAAATTAATTTTTTTCTTGGTGAAATTGTCTGCAACACTCTGCCATGCATATTCTTCCTCTACAGGATTATTTCAAAATTATGGACTCAGAAATGTTCAGCTGGATAGTTCTTGGGTGGCTGAGGTGCTCACTGAAGAATTTAAATGATGTAATAGCTATTGAACACCCCATTATATGGCTGCCTAATTAATGTGAATGATAGTTATGTCTTACTCACAGAAGATTATTTTACACGGAGGAAAATCTACTCACTGCCACAGTAGCCATTTCAATAGTTTTTATAGGAGCAGTTGCATTATGGCTTCATTGAGTAAAAGGTAAGTAGCCGTCCTAAATAATGAAGATTGAAGGTTTAATAGTCCCAATAAAGAATCCTGCAGGTTTTTTATTTCAAAAATTAGAGTTTGATTGCAAGCGTATGATAATGAGAGGGAGAAGAGCACTGGCATGTGGAATCCTTTTGGCTCCTTGGGAACTTCCATTTCTTCTGTGCAGAAATGCAGAAGAATAAGGACAGCAAAACAGCAAATAAGCTGTTCTTTACTTTCCCTACCAGCATGTCCAAGCTCCAAGGCTCCTGTGGGAGCATTTCTGTGGATAAGGACAGGCTGTGCTGCTCTGCTGGGAAGGCTGGTACAGCTGCACATGGCTCATCACGTACACAAATAACCTCAGATAATGTGGAGAGCCCGGCTTA